CATCTTTGTATATTCTACCACATCTGCGTCTTCATTAGACATGATACCCTCCTATCACGAGCAGATCCAAAAGCTGAAAGGAGAAGAGAAGATACCCATGATTCTCATTGGAAACAAGAAGGACAAGGAGGAACTGAGGGAGGTCACACAAGATCAAGCCCGTCAGATGTCTGTAAGACTCGGCTGCAAATGGTACGAGACCTCCTGTGTTGACGGTAGTTACATCGAAGATGCCATCTACGATCTCGTCAACATCATGAATCCTAGAAAGAGAGGCCACAAAAGAGGCTGTCTCCTCTCATAAACTCTTGATCTCCTTCTCATCTTCTTCTNNACTGAGGGAGGTCACACAAGATCAAGCCCGTCAGATGTCTGTAAGACTCGGCTGCAAATGGTACGAGACCTCCTGTGTTGACGGTAGTTATATCGAAGATGCCATCTACGATCTCGTCAACATCATGAATCCTAGAAAGAGAGGCCACAAAAGAGGCTGTCTCCTCTCATAAACTCTTGATCTCCTTCTCATCTTCTTCTGCATGGGGTGAAGATCATCTCGGGTCCGAAATTTCGGAAATTTCCGGAATAATCTGGACTTGTTCGTCTACAATTGGGGAAAGCAGTTTTCCGTCGACATAGATTATCTCAGCCGCCCGGCTATTCCAACGAGGCATCGCAAACGCCGGCTGCATCGTAGGTAAGAGTCTCTAAGATCGCTGTCAGACGAGCCTAAGCCTATTTGACCTCTTTGTGCACGTGACGATGATCTGATAATGTGATCAGATATCTGTCTTGAGAATCCCACTGTTGTTTTCGGTTAGAAGACATGTTGGGTGCTATCGGCAGACACTTAAATAAGGGGGGAAGATGTGTCCCCCTGACTCGGACATCACGAAATGTATCGGTAGTCAGACCGCTCAACAGCGTGCCCACACAGAAACTGAACACGAGAGGTGATGTGTTGTCTTCCTTTCAATCTTCTAACATTTCGTCAGCATTCTCTACTCTGCCTTCTCTCCGTGCAGCTGCACCATCGTCTCCACAGAAACTCTCAGAGAGCTTCCTCAGTGGCTCATCTGCCATCTACATCGAAGAGATGTTTGAGGCCTGGAAGAAGGACAACAGCTCCGTTCACGCTTCTTGGAATGCATACTTCAAGTCAGTAGAGAGGGGAGCCCGCCCCGGAGAGGCACTTGCATTTCCTGATTCGTTTGGAGAGCACATCACCGTGACGGGTGGTGGTTCAGTTGGAGGTGGCATTCCCACCGATGTCAACGATTCCATTCGTCTGCTCTTGCTCGTCCGCGCTTACCAAGTGAGAGATCATATCATATTGATGTGTGATTATCTCTTATCGTCATCTCGACGGACCATCCTCATCATCTCACACTCTTCTGAACGAGATCTGCAGGTGAGAGGACACATGTTGGCCGATCTGGATCCCCTGCGTCTGACCAAAAACCCAACTCCACCGGAGCTCGAACTGTCCTCGTACGGTTTCACCGAGGCTGACATGGACAGAGAATTCACTCTGGGCGGTGAATACCTCTCTGGCTTCCTCTCCAGGTGACAACCATCATCCTTCATCACGTGCATCATCGTCTAAAGAGTCCTGACGCCGTTTAGACCCAAGACCAAGCTGAGAGACATCGTCAGCCGATTGAAGGAGACATACTGCAGCACCATTGGTTATGAGTGGGTCATCGCCTCGTTGTAGTGTGCCGACGACCTCATCAGGTACATGCACATTCAAGACAGAGACCGCTGCAACTGGCTGAGAGACAGAATCGAGACCCCTCAGCAATACAAATTTTCAAAGGAAGACAAGACGAGCATTTTGGATCGTTTGACTTGGGCGACCGAATTCGAACTCTTTTTGAATCGAAAGGTGAACGTTGGAATTCATTTCAAAAAAAAGAAAAAAAATTGAAGAAAAACAGTGGCAAGGTACCAAGAGGTTCGGTGTAGATGGATGCGAAGGTTTAATTCCGGGAATCAAAGCCATGATCGACAAACTGTCCGATCACGGAGCCGAGAGCGTCGTCATGGGAATGGCCCACAGAGGTCCGTACACCGGTTTTAAGGTTTATCTGACCCCACCAGGTCGTCTCAACGTCCTCGCCAACGTCGTCCGCAAGCCACTCGATGCCATTTTCCACGAATTTGGCGGTGGTTCCACTCAGGGCGGCGATTTCTTCTACACCGGCTCAGGCGACGTCAAGTACCATCTCGGTACATCGTACGACCGTCAGACTCGTAACGGAAAAGCCATTCACTTGTCTCTCTTGGCCAACCCCTCTCATCTGGAGGCAGTCAACCCCGTTGTAGAGGGTAAAGTCAGGGCCAAGCAGCAATTGACCGGTGACCACGAGAGGAAGAAGGTGGGACCGTGGCGCGTTGTAGACTGAATCGTTGTAGACGGTCAGTGTTTTGATCCACGGAGATGCATCGGTCGCCGCTCAGGGCATTGTCTATGAGACAGTCGGCCTCTCTGGACTGCGTCACTACACCACCGGTGGTTCTATCCATGTTGTCATCAACAACCAGATCGGTTTCACAACCGACCCTAGAGACGCTCGCGGCAACGTATACTGCACTGACGTGGCCAAGATTTCTCGTGGGATTTTCCTCGGAGATTCCGATCTGACTCGTTGTAGATGCTCCAGTCTTCCACGTGAACGGCGATGACCCGGAAGCCATCACCCACGCCTTCCAATTGGCCGCCGAGTGGAGACAGACCTTCCACTCTGACGTATTCATCGACATCATCTGCTACAGAAAGTTTGGACACAACGAAGGAGACGAACCCAGATTCACTCAACCAGTGATGTACAAGGCGATCGATCAACAGAGATCCACCCTGGAGCAGTACAAGGCCCAACTCTTGCAAGAAGGTGAGGGGATGGGATGACGTGAGATGACGTCATCAGGCACGTTGAACGAGAAGGAATTGGCCGAGATCGACGAGAGAGTGAAGAGCATCTTGGAGCAGAAGTACAAGGAGTCCCCCGATTACAAGTCGAACCCTTCTGACTGGTTCGATTCACACTGGCAAAATTTCAGATCTCAGACGCAGCAAGACAAGAACCAGTGGAGGAACGTGTCGACGGACACCATCAAGAAGGTCGGCAAGGCTCTCTACACCATTCCAGAGGACATCACCCTCCACCCCAACATCAAGGTGTGCCGTGTGATGACGCGTGATGACGTCATCACTCATTCCCGCAGAAAATCATCCAGGGAAGACAAAAGGTGGTGGAGAGTGGACAGAACATCGATTGGGGTACTGCCGAGTCTCTTGCGTACGGTACGCTTCTATTGGAGGGTAGACACGTTCGTGTGTCCGGACAAGATTGTGAGAGAGGAACTTTCTCTCACCGTCACGCCGTCCTCCACGACCAAAACTCCGACAAGGTGATTTCCCGCCAAAAATTAAACCCTAAAACCTGACCCCGCTCAGACGTACGAGCCCCTCAACAACATCGACCCCGAGCAGGCCCCCTTCAACGTCTGCAACTCTTCCCTCTCTGAGTTTGGAGTCTTAGGTTTCGAGTTGGGTTATTCCTTGGAGAATCCAAACATGCTCGTCGTCTGGGAGGCCCAATTTGGTGACTTTGCCAACGGTGCTCAGGTACGTCTCGTTGTAGATCGATCACCATCACCTCATCGTCATCACCTGATCACCGTCATCAGGTCATGATCGATCAGTTTGTCGCGGCGGGTGAGGCCAAGTGGAGGAGACAGAGCGGACTCGTTCTCCTCTTACCCCACGGTTACGATGGTTCCGGACCAGAGCACTCCTCCGCCAGACTCGAGAGGTTCCTCCAGATGTCCGATTCCGACCCCGATGTCATCCCATCCGCTCACCCCGAGCAGGTGACACCGACACATCCACCCTCATCCTCTAAACTCGTTCAGGTGGCGCAGCTGTCCAACTGGACCGTTGCCAACATCACTTCTCCCAGCAATTTTTTCCACGCCATGAGAAGACAGATCATCCGAGACTTTAGAAAACCGATGGTGGTCATGTCCCCGAAGAATCTACTCAAGCACAGACACTGTCACTCGCCCATCGAAGAGTTCACCTCCGGACAGTTCAGGAGAGTCATTGGTGAGACGAAACAAGAGATTGTGGACAACGCCGATAAGGTGGGAGACACACGGTGGGACGTGGGATGACATCATCAGGTCAAGCGCGTCTTGTTCTGCTCCGGAAAGGTCTACTTTGATCTGGCCGACGAGAGAGAGAAGCAGAAGAAGAGCGACGTCGCGATCGTTCGCGTGGAGCAGATCTACCCTTTCCCATTCGATCTGGTCGCAGAGGAAGCTGCGAGGTACCCCCAGGCAGAGGTGACGGTCATCTACAACGAGCCATCTGATCTATCTTTAGATCATGTGGGTGCAGGAGGAGCACAAGAACGCGGGAGCTTGGAATTGGATCGCACCCCACATTCGCACAGCTCTGAAGGAGAAGAGAGGAGACAACTACAACTTGAAGTACGCAGGAAGGGCCTCGGCGGCATCACCTGCCACTGGATTTAAGAAGGAGCACGACAAGCAGCAGGCCGCTCTGATATCGACGGCTCTGACTCTATAAATTTGATCTGATCCGGTGACTGTATGTAATGTCTTGCGGTGAGGATCGAACTGATTGACGGGATGGCTGGCGCTGATATTGAGACTGATTTGAACCATTATAACGGGATCTCTTCCCAACAAGCGTCGATGGTCCAGTGGTAGAATTTCCGCCTGCCACGCGGGAGACCCGGGTTCGATTCCCGGTCGACGCACGGTTTTGCCAATCTCAACATGATTCATTTTGGCGATCACATTTCCGATGATGATCTGCGAAACTGTTCGAATCTGAAATTATCAATATTGATAAATATAGAGCATAAATGATGGTAGATGATATGAAAACTGTTTGTGTTCATTCAGCTTGTTCCCACGTTAACAGAGTGTTGTAGCAATGAAGGAGAGATCATTGCAAAACGAAAAAAATGTGCATCCGGTGGGATTCGAACCCACGCGCGGTTACCCACACTAGAAATCTCTACCATGACTTGGCAGTAAGCTTTCGCTTGAGTCTAGCGCCATAACCAACTCGGCCACAGATGCTTCGTGATGGAGCGACAATTTTTGATGTACATATCATGAGTGTATACAGCATCATCTGATTGATTGCTTACAACATATGCATGGGAGAACAGAGCCCTGCTTCTTGCAGTTGTTTATTTACAACCTTATTCTAAATGAAATATGTTATGACTTGGCTCAGCAGTTGCAACCCTTGTTGTCATCAGCCGGTTGGCTGTTGTCGATGACGATCTTCTTGTCGTTCAACTTGATGTCGTCGCTCATGTTCCTGTCTTGAGCCAGTGCGTTCTTAGCGATAGTCAAGAAGGCTTGGTCCACGTTGGTTGCCTCCTTCGCACTGCACGTGTTAGAATCGACATGCACCTCCCATGCACTCACGATGTCTCAAAGTAAGGGATGTTGCCGTTTGCTTGACACCACGCTCTCGCTCTCTTCTCGGTGACGACTCTGTTCTCAAGATCGATCTTGTTGCCGATCAAAACGAAGGGGAAGCTCTCTGGGTTGGCGGGTGCGGCTTGGTTCAGGAACTCGTCCTTCCAGTTGTCTGTAGAGGATGAATAATGATGAATTGGATGGTGAGAAATCACCGATACGCTCGAAGCTTTTGGCGACGTTGACGTCAAAGACGAGAACGCAGCAGTCGGCTCCTCTGTAGAAGGCAACACCGAGAGATTGGAATCTCTCTGTGTAAATGTTAGAAGGTGTAGTGAAGATGGAACTTGTATTGGTGGGGTGTCATAGAAGGTGGAGTGACGATGTTACCTTGACCAGCAGTATCCCAGATCTGTTCAATGATTGAGTTACGCGAATGATTGCGAATCTTCTTCTCACCTGGTTTGTGACGAGCTTGTCGTCGACCATAACTTCTTTGGTGAGGAAATCGGCTCCGATGGTAGCTTTATAGTGGGTGCTGAACTTCTTTGACACATACGTTAAAAAGTTAAGGAACACGTTGCAACGAGAACAAATGGAACGACGAAATGTAAAGGATATTGATTCATCAGTGAAGTCTTGCCTACACTGAATGGATTTTAGCATCGGATCGACATCATGTAACGTGTCAGCTCACCCGCTCTCTCCGAGGATGATAACCTTCAGCAGTGCCTTCTTGTTGGAGCTCATGTCTTCCGCTGATCGTCCTTGGTTTGTGTGGTTGTCTTCCGCAGGGGAATAAATAAACACTTTTATTTCATTTTCCACTGTCCAGTGATGATGATCTGCCGTAGACTACCATCATTCAGACAAACCGTTCGTCCCCACCAAAGGATACTGATCCGTCACAAGTCTGTAGTTCCAGAATATACAGGTGCGATATGACATCACGATGTGATCACATCATCTCAAACGATCCAGCTGGCACTTGGCAAAAAATCTATTCATTTGGCAGTGAGTGTCTTTTCTTTCGCTTATCTCATCATCTTCTGCGCAGATAATCATTTTGGTCAACTGGGAAGATACATCGAGAATGCATCATCAGATCCAAATCCAGGCCTCATCGGTCCTCTGTGTGTATTCAGCGCATTAGAGTCACCCATCCGAACCAATTTCATCGATGTGGCTAGCGGTCCGTATCACAACCTCGCCATCACCGGTAAGAACGTCATCACTCTTCCCTTCTCACCTCGATTCAGAACAACGCAAAGTCATCGGCTGGGGCAGATGTGCCGAATTCCAGATTCCTGATTCCATCAAAGAAAAGGACATCTTGGAATTTCCAAACAGTCTCCCATCACTCAACAAGATGAAGTTTGTCGGCTGTCGAGCCATGGAAGAGACGAGCCTCTTTCTCAATGGTGATCCATCATCACAATCATCATCCATCGACACTGACACCTCTTCTCAGACCAGGGAAGAGTCTACACGTGTGGAAGCAGCACTCACGGTGAATGTGGGCTGGGAGAAGAAGAAAAGGTCGAGAAGATCAAGGTGATCGATCACCTACTGAATCAGAAGGTGATGCGATGGTGTCGGAGGTGAAGTTGAGAGTCTCAGATCTCTTGGTTGGGTAGTGGGAGCAACCACGCTGTAGCCGTCACGGAATATGGAGATGCATTTAGCTGGGGAGAGAACACGTGGGAATTGAAGGTTGTAAGATGAAAGAGATGACACGAACTCGATAGGTTCGGGCAGCTAGCTTTGGGAGATGTTGGTGATCAGCGACTTCCGAAGAAGGTGGAGATGTGATGCACCATGTCCATCGTTGACATTATTTTATAGATTTCACTTCCTGGCAATGTTCGTCTCTCGCAATCCTTCTGCTCCTATGATGCCACATGCCTCTTTACAAGTGACGAGGATCTGAATCGACATCACTGACATCTCATGTCCAACAGCTGATGGTGACCTGGGTATCTGTGGAAATGGAACTCTGGGCCAATTGGGTAATGATTCCACCGATAGCTCTCACACACCAGTCGATCTCTTCCATCTACATGGAAAGGACATCTTTCACGTGGCCTGTGGAATATCTCACCTGTTAGCCTTGAGTGGTGAGTTGGTTTCAGATGTCTTCATGGGGTGATGGATGTTATAGAGGATGGTGATCTGTATGGGTGGGGTTACAATGGAACCAATCAACTGGGGACAACGACGGATGGTATGGCGCAGACTGTACCAGTCCTCATCGATGTGGATGGAAAGAAGGTCCTAGCTGCGTGGGCTGCTGGTGGTCGCTCATTTGCTAAGACGGGTACCAATCACATCACATCATCCTTCTATCTTCTGACGAGACGAAAGAGGATGGACTCCTCTATAGTTGGGGATTCGGAGGTGATGGAGCCCTCGGCCACGGAGATCTACTCTCGCAGGTGGACGATGATCATCTTCCGATCCGAAATCCCATCGATAACATCATCACTCACGACAACAGCCCCGCCCCAAAGTCATCGAGTTCTTTCGCGGGAAGGATGTCGCTGCTGTTGTGGGAGGAGACAAACACACCCTTGTCATCGTGAATCAATCCGCCACCGAGGAGGGCTACTCCACCAAGATGTTCGACACCGGCGTAGAAGGGGAGGGGGAACCTGGGGTGACTGAAAACACTAGGAGAGAACCATCCAAAGAACCGACCCGAGCGTCAACTTCAATTTTGCAAGAAAAAGGTGTTCCCGTGCAGCATCACACCCAAAAATAACTTGTCACCAGGGTCACCTCTCGATCGTATTCCGCAGCAAAGGTTGCTGGCAAAGGAGAAGATCGCATGCAGAAAGGTGATGCTTCTTTTCTCTCTCGCGCTGAATCTCCCAGGCCAACTTAGATATCAGTTCATACGTATTACGCCGCGACCTCTCAGCAGTCATGACAGTGAGTCCTTTGTCTTCAGATGACACTGAGAGACGTAGAGGATGGAGATGGATGAGAAGGAACAGAGCAAGATCAAGTGGAAAAAGGCACGACGGGAAAGAGCCAATCGTTCGAAGTAAACGTGTTTTTTATGAGAAGTGTGGTGCGGAATGCGTTATTGAGATTGACTCCACGCAACCGTGCTGAGGTAGACACAACTTGGTCCTCTTCGAACACGTGAAGACATGCACAATATGGATTTTTCGACGTACCAAGACTCGTTCGTCTCTGGTGAAGCGATCAGCATCGACTACCAGGCCATAGAGAGCTGGTGGAATATGATCGCACACCCCGCACAGTCCCAAATGGATGATGCTCAAGTGATCGATTACATGAATTACGCTCAGAGGACAGACAATACTGTCTACCCCCTGCCAACACCACCACTGGACTTGAATCTGTCTTCTGAGATGACCGAGTGCCCATTCCGATTGGTTCAACAGTTGAAGAAGAGACAGAGAAAATCGTACGACAGAGAAAGCCGATTTCTCTCGCCACGGCCTGTAGTCTGTTTGAGCCAGGTGAAGATGCATCGATGGAATCGGGATCTGATCATAAAACAGAGCCATCCTCTGGCAAAGAGCATAAAGAATTGTCTCGTCACAGTACAGCTGGCAGACGAGCATGGAAATGTGTTGCCAGAATCGGAGCAGAAGCACCTCCTTGGTCCCCACGGAAAGTCAACTGTTTTGACTCTTCCTTACCTGCAGACATCGGCCTTTGCCCTGAAACTCAGCTGGAAATCGGAGGAAATGCATGTTCGATTATGCTTCACCATCGAATACACAACGGACGACGGACAAAGGCACTCGACGATACTACTGTCAGACGACTTCCATTTTGTGCGGACACGAAAGAGATCAGACAAGAGTGAAGATGATTCAGATGAGGTGAAGACGCCACCTGATGTATAAAGTTACAAACATTGTAGCGGCCGTAAGATCGTTTCGTTGTGTATCATTTTCATCAAATCACGATTGTCTAAGTGAACATCACCTCATTTTTCCGTAAGAATCGTTCTCTATACCCTTTATACATTTCATTTCTTGAATTTGTCCTCGATCTTCTGAACTCCCTTAAACACAAAGTGTTTGAATTGTTCAGAGTTCTCGGCCAGTACCTCCCTTTTATCTCTGTTTTTCAGCTGCTTTAGCTGATGGTCTGCTCGAATCTTTCCATCCCTTAACCCTACGTGAAATCGGATGGCGGCCCTTCTAAACCATGGCTGTTCGGCGAGTTTGTGTGCCAGAGCTTGTGTTCCCATTGAATTAACCAGTCGAACGATGAAGTTGAGCATCGTTTGTTGTATGTGACAATAATGAGCGATGGTTGCGTGATGTGATGCCGCATTCTTAGAATTTTCGTGCAGGAGTGCTATTCTATTTCGAGAACGTCACCCCAACACCTCATCGACAGCATCATGCTCCAGCTTTCAGAAGAGGACGCCAACGAGTTTCGTGAGATCTTTGACCTCGTCGATCAAGATGGAAGTGGAAAGATCTCGCCCGCCGAGCTGGGAGAGCTGACGAAGAAATTGGGACTCAAATACTCTGAGGTGGCGTTGATGGAACATTCGCAGGCGATGGCTGATGATCGCAGAGTCAACTCGAGATGATGGTGCGTGAGATCGACATTGATCGAAATGGAGAGATCGATTTTGAAGGTGAAGAGTTGAAGGC